GCAACAGGCAACAGTGTTTAGCTCAGAGTGAGGCGTCGTACGTTTTTGACCATCTTCGTTTGCTCCTCGATCGTCTCCTTCGGGACGTTGGTGGCGCCGATCTGCTGCGTGATTCCTCCGGCCTCGCCGTCCTGCACGTGGGTGTGTCTCAGCTAAACACAAACAAACAAACAAACAAACAAACAAACAGCAGTCAGTGAACAAGTCTGACGTCAGCAGAATGACTAGTTTGACTTTAAACAAGTCAGTCAGTCAGTAAAGAGTAAACTGTCAACAATAAACAGTAAAGTATAAATAGTGAAGATAAACAACAGTAAACAGTAAATAGTAAACATAAACAGGTAAGAATAAACAGTGAACCATGAACAGAACGGTCACCTTGTCCAGGATCTTGGTCTTCCCCGTGTCCACGTGTCCCAGCACACACACCACCGGCGCCCTCAGCCTGTCATAGTCCGTGTTCTTCACGTTCTCCAGTCGTCGTTTCTATGGAGACACACAGAGCGGCGGTCAGAGACGGGGCGGAGCCGGACGGAGCCGGACGACGCCTCCCTCCGCTGCGTCTCCTCTCACCTCGATCCTCCTCTTGGCGCGGTCGTACAGTCGCTCCTCTTTCGTCCGGCCGTCGTCGTCGTCGCTGTCGCTGCTCTCGTCTTCGCTCGGCGCCCTCCTCTTCCCGTGAGCCGCCGCCGCCACCGTCGTTGCCGCCTCCTTCTCCTCCTCGGCGTCTTCTTCGCTTTCCTCGTCGTCGTCGTCTTCCTCGTCCTCCTCGTCGTCATCCTCGTCCTCCTCGTCATCCTCGCTGGCGGCGGTCTGCGGAGGAGCGGCGGTCTCCTCCTTCACCTCGATGTGGACTTTCTTCAGCTCTGACACAAACAGAATGGTTTAATGTCGACACACAGGTGAGACTCTCCTGCAGGTAAAATCGCCAAACAAGCCCCGCCCCCACCTTTCTCCTCGTCGCTGGCGATGGCCTCCCAGTCGTCGACGGCGGCGTCCGGCTTCACTTCTGCACAGACAGACGACAAACACACATTCAGTCCTGCCTCCCGTCCTCCTGACTCCTCCCCCTCCCGCACCTGCCGCTCTCACCTGGCTCTGCCGCCGGCGTTTCCGCCTCCGTCTCCATGGCAACCGGCTCCGGAGTCTCCGAGGACGGCGAGGTCACCTCTGACGTTTCTGGGAAGGAGACAAATAAAAAGATTTTAATTCATGTATTAGCAGATGTAGTGACACGAAAGTCACAAAAACAGCATGAAAAGACGGAAAATGACACAAAAATGATACAAAGAGACACAAAAGGTGCAAAAATTACTTAATTCAAAACAAAAATGACAAAACCAGAACACAAACTTGACTTTAAAAATCAAAAAAATGACAAAAACACAGACAAAAACTTGACTGGAGACGATGGTGCAAAAAAAAAGACAACAACAGGCAAAACAAAATGACCTAATGAAACAAAAACAACAACAAAAAGGCAAAAATGAGCTGAACTGGAGACAAAGAGA